AACTTGATGGTATTAAAGCTTCAAAAAGGAGATCGAGTTTGGGTCAAAGATTTGGGAATGATGGGACTGGGAATTCTACCAATGGCATTGCCCCTATCACCACGTTCTCTGGATTCCTAATATGATTCATTTAAAGAGTTTACTTTTAATAAGTTACATTAAATTGTTTAGCCTTTATCTAAATTATAACAATGATTACAGTTTCTTTTCAAGGAAATTAGGATTGAGTTATATTATTTTATAACGATATGTGTAACCTGGATGGTACTTTTTTCGGAAAATAAATTGTGAAGGTTTGTTTGTAAATTACTATTATGCAAAATGGTGAAAAATTATTTTGTGTTATTTGTATTTCTGACACCATTCAGGGTATGCTGATGATCGACATGACAAGTTTAAATTAAAATGGTAAAACCTAATAACTTCCCTATTTTCTTACTGTTAATGGTATCTAACACAAGCATGATACCACACCTGTGTTATGTCAAAAGAAAAAATACATAAAATAATTTTTCTGTGGGATGTGAGACCGGCATAAACCGAGGACGTTGAACAATAAACAAACATACATACCATATATGTTGCACAGTATTTAAATAACCTTTGATATATAGCAACGGAGTAAGGAGTTGATTCTAAGTTCGTGGTTTCGAATCCCACTGTAGGATGTGAAGACCGGTCCTTCTGAAGCGACTGTTTAAGTCGAAGCTCCGTGTTGCAGTTGTTGCTGGCACGATAAAGATACCCTTGGCTCAATGGCCCCGATTATCGAGTACAGGTCTTTATGTTTATTCAAGACAATTGCCCAAAACAAAGGTGCAACAATCAAACCCGTGCCGAGGGTGTTAATTCACCACCAATTAAAAGCGAACTAAAATGACAATGACAAACATATTTAAATTGTTTGGGGGACTACAGTCCCTGAAACGTTCTATTTTCCCACCTGAACGGTGAACGAACGCTGAACGAATGGTGAACAAACACAGAGCGAACGGTGAGTGAATTTCAGGTGCTAAAATATAAATAAACAATAGATAAATAAATAATATAATTTTTTGTATAATATGTTTTAAAATGATATTTTGATAACACGATTTCAAAACATGTGTATTTGTTACCGAACGCGTGTAGTATAAATATAAAATCAATCTACTTATAAAGTAAATATATATGCTTATTCTTTTAACTAATAAAATAATGTGGACTGTAGAAGATAAAAATCCTACTAGAATGAATTATTAACATTGTACCCGGTTGAAACAACCATACATGTATTTCCGTGCCAAGGCGAGTAAAATAACGGATTTTTTTTTTAATTTACAAATGTCTGTTGACGTACTGCATAAATACACTCGTATTTTAAAATTCTAATGCAAAATATTAAAACATTATGTGTCATTTTTATTATTTTATGAAGATTATTTTAGCTTATTTCTACATGTACCTATAGATATTTCCCGGCCGGGCCGTGATTATACTCTGACAAGATGATGGAAAGAGGCAATCAAATTATTTGTTATAGATTAAATTTTCAAAACTCAATAAGTAATGTATTGTCATAGATTTTATTGAATAGAGAAATGTACGAGAGAGAGAGAGAGAGAGAGAGAGAGAGAGAGAGAGAGAGAGAGAGAGAGAGAGAGAGAGAGAGAGAGAGAGAGAGAGAGAGAGAGAGATACCCCCTTCATTATAAGATATCTGTTGTATCAAATAATTTTTTTTTTTATTTTTTTCTAAATTTTCCAAGCAGTAACAGTAAACATTTTTTTAAAAAGATTAACACAGTATTCATGGGCTTCTATTTTCCATCTTCAACTTCAACCGGTTGACAGGAAGTCCACGTGTTTATCCTGTCAATCATCAAAATCATTTGACACGGTGGAGGTGTGGAAATCTCGTTTCACCGAACATGCCGAAAGCAAAGAGTAACTTAGTATTTCCAAGAAGTTTAAATATTTTTTCCTATCATTTCTAGATCTGATTTTCGCATTTCTGCAGAAAAAAATAATGGGAATATATATTTGGAAGGAATAACTTTGAAATTGAATTTGAAACACATTCATAGGCGTCGGAACCGGCTAAGCCCCCCCCCCCCACTTTTTTTCCAGAAAAATACTTAGTATAGATATTGAATATTGCTTCGTAGGTTTATCTCCCCCGCACTTTCCACAGGTACGTCGCAGTATAGCTTAATAATGGGGAAAGTGTTGGTCTTTGGTGAAAACAAATTTTGGTACTGAAGGTCGAACCAATTTCAGTGATTCATTTACTTTGTAATAATTCATAAAATTAAGTGAATAGAAAGCATATTATCTCTAAAATTAAGTAATAATTATTTACCAAAAATGATTAGTTAATTTACTACGTAATATAATTCCTATTGTTTAAGTAATTCTATTGATACTTAGTAAATTATTTTATGATTAAATGAATTCATCCTTATTACTAATTATGTTTACAATTACGAACCATGATAGTCATTTACTTCCTATCCTGACTAAATGGAATACTAATAATTACTGGTTTTTCTTAATCTAATATGTTATTTTATAAACACCAAGTAAAACTTTTTTATAGTGTACTAGTGTTTTATCATTTTTGAAAAGCAGTGATATTGCCTATACCTTTCGTCTCTCAAGTCGATTATCTTTAGCCTCTAATGCAGCTTTATTTTGCAATGAAAATTCAACAATCAACCCTCCCAAAACAACATTAAAAAACGTTAACTTATAATAATATTTCATTTTTTTTTGCAAATGTTCCAGACCTGTTATTGAAGATTTATAAGAGTTTTAAAATATTATTGCTAAACAAGTCAGCATTGTTATTGGTGTTTCTGAGGGCATTCAGGGCTTCTTTCTGTTAATTGTATCTAAAACAAGCATGATACAGCATGTGTGTTATGTCAAAAGAAGAAACACATGAAATGAATTTTACGCGTTTAAAAGCCTGCATGGTGCAGTGGTAGAGCGTCTGCTCTGATATCGCGAAGTAAGGAGTTAATCCTTACGTCGCGGGTACGAATCCCACTGTAGAACGCGGAGACCTGTCCTCCGGATGAGATGGTATAATCCGAGGTCCCGTGTCACAGAAGATGCTGGCACAAAAAGATCCCTATATCTGCTCAGTGGATGTGAGTGTCGAGTTTAGGTCAACATTAGCAGCTCTCCCCCCTGGCAAGTGGTAGCGTCTCTATATGCGTAAAAATTCTTGAGAGGGACGGTATACAAAAAACAAACATATTTAAAATGTCGAACAGTGGATGAAATGTTCGCTATAGAGTCACTGAGTAAAGTGTTGATCTTTACGGTTTCGAATCCGTCTGCGGGACGTGGAGACCAGTATAAACCGAGGACGTTAAACAATAAACAAACATGCATACCATATATGTTGCACAGTATTTAAATAACCTTTGAATTATAGCAACGGAGTAAGGAGTTGATTCTAAGGTCGCGGTTTCGAATCCCACTGGGGGGATGTGGAGACCGGTCCTTCTGAAGCAACTGTTTAAATCGAAGCTCCGTGTTGCAGTTGTTGCTGGCACGATAAAGATACCCTTTGCTCAATGGCCCTGAGTGTTGAGTACAGGTTTTTATTTTTATTCAAATAATTGTCCAAAACAAAAGTGCAACAATCAAACCCCTGCCGAGGATGTTAATTCACCACCATTGAAAAGTGAACTGAAATGACAATGACAAACATATTTAGATAGTTTGGGGGACAAGAAATACTAGAAAGTGTTTGTGTACATAAATTGAAGTATTCAAAATTAAACGCAATCACTAAATGGTTAGCATGATCATGTTTTAAAACTAAACCCGTCCGCGCCGTATACTGTACATAGGGAAATATTTGCCCCCGTTTTATTTTCGTTCTAACCTCGGCTGGGCGAATTCAAAGAATACAATATAATTTCTTTAACAAAACTGTGACTGGGCGAATTTAAAACAGGGCAACATTGTTTGCACATGTAAAAGGGCGAAAATAAGGCGGGGAGAAAATAACCTCGTGTACAGTATCGTATTTAAATGAATTATTTTAAGGACAGATGATACAAACAATCTTTTGTCAAAAAATTTGAAAATATCAATTTGAGTCATTTTTTTATCAATAATATCAATATCACCGCGTAGTTTTTGAATTTTTATTCGAGTTTTCACACAAATGGGACTTGAGGTGAAAAATATTTGTATAGACTAATAAGGATGGTTCCAGTGAGAAAGAATTTTGAACATCATAGAAGGTTTACAAGGTTTATCTTTATATTCTAGAAATTTATTATTTGCATTATTTTCAATTAAATTAAGCCAAATAATATATACCAAGCCATCCATTTTTTGTTTGTATCATCTGTCCTTAATAATGGTATTCATAAGTAAGCGAATTATTGTCCGCACCAAAGCCGCTAAAATATGACGCTCGCTTTTTTAAGCACACATACAGTAAATATTGAAGGAACGCAGCCATAAATTAACATAGGTTTCCCACAATACAGTATATATACTGACAAAAAAATCGTTTTAAACATAAGTACAGGCCTGAAGTCGTAAATACTTACATCAATTCATTACATACGTCTATTTGATCTAGATATGAGAATGATATTTATATATTCAGTGTCAAGTGCATTATCAGTTAAATTCAATCCCCTGTAAAGTAACTTTGAATCTTTGCAAAAAAATATCGCAAGAAATCACTTGAATTGCGCTTTTCGATTAGATAAACTGATAGAAACCAAAAAATGTCCTTTTAAATGTATCTGATGAAGAAGGATTTTTATCAAATGTATTTATTTGCAGTTGTCTGTTTAAAGAACAAAAGACGCTATTGTCATCACAATTTTATGGTTTAATAACCTAGAAACCTGGATTTCTTGGATCCAAATTTCCTTCCTTATAAGAGTAGTATATAATCTGATTCTCAAGAAGAAATAATATATTCATATAAAACAGGAGAGGTACGATAAACTGCCTTCGAGAACACAACGTTAATCTTTCAAAATGCGATTTCATAATCCGTTTTACATTACGATTCTACTATTTTTGTTCAATGTTGGAGATGGTTCTGCATTGTTAATCCACGGGAATTCTACTGGAAGCGACACAATCCATGGGTCAGGTGGTCACAGTGTCGATGTGGCCGAAATCAAGCAAATAGTTTTAAACCTAACAGCTGAGATAAAAAATCTCAAGAGACAAACAGAAATTATACCAGTACTAAAGCAGAATCTTACTGTTGTTATTGAACAGAAAAAGTTACTACAAAACAGAGTATTCTTTTTGGAAGCAGAACTGAATAAACTAAATGCTTCAAAGCCTCCTTCCAATGATGAATTTATGGCGTATTTAAGAAGTACAAAACAAATAGTTCAAACTTTGGCGGCAAATGAGGAATACGACAAAAATCTAACTCTGCGACTGAATGAAGCGGAAAATAATATTGCGATCACTGAGAAGCATAATAAGAACTTAACAAAACAACTTGACAATGTAGTGAATGATTTGGTGATAAACGAAAAGCAGAATGAAAACTTTACTGCACAAATTAATGAAGTAGAGAATATTTTGGTGAAATATGATAAGCAGATGGAAAATGTCACTAAACGACTCGATAAAATTCACATTCTTTTGACTGTAAACGAAGAGTATGACAGAAATTTAACACTGAGATTAAATGAAGCTGAGAAAAGTAGAGTGATTTGTGAGAAACAGAATAAGAACTTAACTGAACAATTTGACGAAGTAGTGAATAAATTGATGACAAACGAAGAGCAGGATAAAAACATCACTCAACGACTAAATGAAGTAGTGAATGGTTTCGTAAATTATGACAAACAGGGAAAAAATGTCACTCAACGACTAGATGAAATGCGTAATAATTTGACTGCAAACGAAGAGTATGACAAAAATTTAACTTCACGGCTCACCGATGTAATGAACAACTTACACGGTATAAAGGTTCAGATGCGATACACAAGCTTGTCACTTATGGATGTGCATTCTAAGACGGATAAACTCAATACAACATTAACTACACATTTTGACGATCAGATAAGGGACGTCTATGGACGAATAACCAGTATGTATTTTGGCATTACAAAAGTGTTTTTAACAGTGTTTTAAAAGTAACAGTGACCACGCTATTATTCACAAGATTTCCCCCTTAGTAAAACATGTACCTATTGTGGTCCCGCCTTATCCCTGGGAGTCATGATTTGAACAATATAGAATCTACACTACCCCATGATACCTCAACGTGAGTTTCAACTTTTCTGGTCCAGTGGTAATCAAGAAGATTTTTATTAAAGAATTTTTCTATTTTAATGTAAAGCTTGAATTCCCTACCATGGACCCGCCCTACCCTCGGGGGTCATGATTTGAAGAATTTACAAGAAGCCCAAGGGCCTTGAATCAATCTTCCGATAAATTTTATAATTTATTACTTCTATTTGAAGCCTCTTAGTATCCTGTACATACCTGGTATAACTAAAGCATTGAATTGCAAAAGTAGGTCATCATGGCCTTCATTTTGGTTGAAAAACTCTGAGAACCCAGGATAATCAACTGAGAAAGTTTTATGATTATATCCCCCTTATTATCGTAATATGAAGACATAGCCATGAGATTTCATAAGGGCACAATGACTTTCTTTTTGGTAAACTCTGTGACTCCAAAATGCCTCAAATAACAATGCCTCTTCAGACTACTAGAATATTCAAACAATACCTAGAAATTCAAGAAGTAGGTCACCATAACCATCCTTTATCTTAAAAAAATATGAGCTGCAACTTTGATGTCGGAATGTTCTGTTGAAAAATCATAATTTACTATTTTGAAAATAGAAAATAAGAATATTTATAAACTTCTATCGTTCATATTTGCGATTGAAGAACTATTAATGTGCCTAAATTGAAGCAAACTTACAAATTTCTCCTGTACAAGATTGCTTTCTTATATAATGCTATACATTCCATAACACAGAAATCATTTTTCTGGAACAATTTAATACTTTCTTTTATTTGAACTCATCATAATGATTTAAATTACATACTTATCGTAACAACAAGTTTTAATAGCTAAATTGAAATCTCAAAGATGCCGCTCATAGTCTGATAGTCCCCAAGGACCTAAGATACATCAATTGACAAAGATTGTAGATTCTAAGTCAACTGGGACCTGAAAAGAATTTAATGTAGCCGTAAAATTTCAAAAGTAGTTCACTGTTACATACTTTTTGGTCGACATTCTCCAAAAACTTAAAATGCAACAACTGATTATTATCACAGAGCTTAAATACGTTTGGAAATAGCATAGTATAACCCACTCTATACTGTATGAAGTTTGGTCCCATCGATGGACAGTCACGTGATGAATTAGTTCGGGTACCGAATGTAGGTCATGAACAAATTTCATTATTGCAAGGGCATAGCCTAGTTGAAATTAAAGATTCAAGCTATTAATTGTTTCTGCATACTTTGTAGTTTCTGAAAAGTGCTGCTGCTTTGAATAGAATTTGCGTTTTAATAGTTAAATTTTCAAGTAAATAAGCCAATGTCGAAATATGTTTGACTTTTACCAAATATTTTGTGTACTTATAAAATCACGCCCTCGATTTAATGTAAGCAGTGCTCAGCACTTTTCAAGTTAAGAAAAATATCCTTTATCTATATTCAAAAAATGTTAAAGATCTATTAAGTGTATGCCCTTGCGAAAATACAATTTTATGAGGCATCTTAATGTTAAATTTACGTAACCTGTACATAAAAACACGACATAATTAATAAAATACATTCTTTTGATAGTTAATGAATAATCGCACTTAACAAAGGATATACATTGGTATTGATCGATTATTTAAAACCTGTAAATAATATTCTGTTTAATTATAAAACGCATTTTTCATTGTTAAAAAATTCCTAAATCTGCCTGTCAAAGCACATGAAATACGTCATTTTTACCAAAATGACGTCATGTTTACAAGATCATCGCGATCAGTGCTTTCTTTACAACCAGTTACATGGCATTTAACTAGCTTTTTTAATGCATTGATAAGTTTTATTGTTGCTTATTATGCTTATACAGTTAAAAGTTGCAAATTATTTCATTTTCAGGTATTATGAGAAATACATAAAAGTCATATTTTTGTGGTGACGTCACAATAAATTTTTCCGTATAAATTAGGCCCCCGCCCTTTTTTCAAGCCTTAACAATGCTGCGTGTGGTCATATCTTCAACAATTTAAGAGCCATTCTCTGTAATAATTTGAAATTTTATATAGGAGCTGTGGCACACATAGTCTCAGAATTTCTCCAAACTCTCTATGATAAAAGTCATTAATACCCTAAACTGAAATCAGGCAAAAATTGGTTGCTATGCTTTATAGTTACCATGGCAACATGTCTTAAAGTTCGAAAAATGGCATTTTTTAACATGTTTAGAGCCCAATAGTTAAAATTTGCGGCAAAGCAAACAATTGGCAATGACCGTTTCCAAAAGTTGAAGGTCAGATGTCTCAAATGCATGATAAATATGTTTGGTAAATCAACTATTACATACATTACTATGGTAACGAAGTATTCAAAAGTAAAAAAAATATTCATTGAATTTTATGAAGTCATACACGCAAAAATAAAAAGAAATTATAGGAGGAAATGTGACCAAATAATAGAAAAAAGAGCCCTGAAACATATACCAAGAACAAAATATGATATTTCGTTTTGGTTGGCAATGGTTGCCAAGGTATTTATACCATAGAGAGCCTTCAAAGTAACACTCTGTATGTTTAAATCTGATCCTATCCTTTAAAAAAGCTCATTTCCTCATAACTAATGATTTTTAAAGATGTTGGTGTGTTCCTAGTTTTCCCATTTGAAAAAATTCAGATTAGATTCTTTAAATAGAGCGTTGCTATGGAAATAAGCAGAGAATATATGCTTAAAAACCTGAAAAATATTTTCTTTCCTTGGATACGTACCCTTAAATGTAGATTCCCAAAACTTTTATGATTGATATTTATTAACAGCTAACCTGACTTTTAATTTTGACTATCATCCAATCTCTAAGTGGATGCAAGAAGTTGGCACACAGGGTTTAATATTGATATAAAGTTCAAAAAATCGAAATTTTCCCTTCTTGGTAACCATAGCAACAGTATTGCTTTCTTCATCAAATTTTATCAATATATGATATTCAACTTCAGTTCTAACAGATAAGTACTATTCAAGCTGAGTCCTTTAATTTGTTTCTTGATTATATGGCAATGTAATTCTTAATGCAGTGAAAAATAATTCACTTTTGAGCACTGGCACTTTGTTTCCATGGTAACACTGCAACGTAGCAATTATACCCAATTTTTCGTATGGTTTTGGTGAGGCAAGGTCCTAAGGATGCATATTTGCCAGTCTTGAATTTTCATGTTTTTCCTCAAGACAGTAGTATTAACCCAATCTTAGTTACTGGTTTTGCATGGTTACACTGTGTTACCATGGCAACTATAAAAGTTATTTATAGAATAATATTGCCTATACTTATATACTTAAGGTCAAACATTTTCATTGTTTTTCTTAAGTCGTTGATTGAATTTGAGCATGCAACACCTACCATTAGTGAATACGGAGTGTTTTTCAGCATATTTCAGCATTTTAAATGTATTCCAAATGTACCCTTGGTTACCACTTACTTAGAGATATATTCTAAACAGTTTCTTTACAGTATAAGTGACATCCAGGTGTCATGTTTTTGTGAGAATGGTTTGTTTGCTTTTTCTAGTTTTTATTAAGCCACACTCAAGATTTAAATTGGCTGAAAATCTTGATTTTTCAAACTTTTCTGGCTGTTGCCATAGCAACGTAGACACTTAGCAACGAAATTTTGTTTGATATTTGTTTCTGGTGTCAAGTACTAAACATGGGTGAAATATCATCAAAGTCGGTGACCATGCGTGGCAACGAAGCTTAAGTGGTTACAAAGAATGGCTATTAAAATCTACCCCCAGGATGCTTCTATATTTTTTTCAGCTTTTCTAGCCCAGTGGTTCTTGAGAAGAATATTTTTTAATGACCCGACCCAATTTTTGTTTTGATTACCTCCCCTTGTGAAGGGACTTGGCCCTTTTTATCTTAATAGTTTAAAATCCCCTATACCCAAGGGTGCTTTGAACCAAGTTTGGTCAAATTTGGCCCAGTGGTTCTTGAGAAGAATTTGAAAATGTGAAGAGTTTACCGACGGTTTACGATCAATGGGTGATCAGAAAAACTCACTTGAGTTTTCAGCTCAGGTAAGCTAGAAGGCTTTTTCATGACGTACATATATTGTGTATACAAGTAAATCTAAAATATTCACATAATCTTAATTATTTATTTATATTTGAAACGCATTCATATTCTACAAAAGTGAGTATAACATACCCGAGAAATTATCGAAAGTAATCAAACGTACCTTTATAAATGCTGATTTTAAAATATATAATTATAAAAAAAAAAATAGAAATTTATTGAACCTTTTATTGCAGACATAACCAAAAAAGTAGCCTTCACGGTCGGTGTGACGTCAACCAGTACCACCTGGGACAGCGGTACACTGGTGTTTGATAGGATCGTCTATAACATAGGAGGGGGATACGACTCCAGTACTGGTGTCTTCACATCTCCTGTAGACGGACACTTTGTTTTCTTCGTGAACGTTCAATCTTATAGTACTTATAGTATGTACACATATATAGTTCTAAATGGCTCAGCTAAAGTCACAACACTGGTATATAATGGTGGTAATGAAAGTTATGATGCAGGGCCGAACTTGGTGGTATTAAGGCTTATCAAAGGGGATCAAGTTTGGGTCAAATATTACACTGGAACTGGTTATTATACTCAGGGTGATGCTCCTGTCACCACGTTTTCTGGGTTCCTAATATGATTCATTGAAAAAGTTTACTTTTAATGGAATATAAAATTGTTTAGCCTTTATCTAAAATATAACAATGATTACAGTTTCTTTTCAAGAAAATTAGGATTGAGTTATATTATTTTTTTTTCAAAGATGTGTAACCTGGATGGTACTTTTTAAGAAAAAAGTTTGTAAAGGATTGTTTGTAAATTACTGTCATGCAAAATGGTTAATAATATTTTGTGTTACTAGTATTACTGAAACCATTCAGAGTATGCTGATGACATGCTAAGTTTAAATGAAAAATGGTATGTATAACCTCGCAACTTCGTCATGTGTTGTTTAATCAAGGTTCAAGAAATAATTGTAAATAATGTAATTAACGGCTTATTTGATTAAATAATTGTACAATAAAGGATGATAATATAAAATAAAAATTGTTAAAATACACTAAAAACAAATGTTTGGTTAAGTTTAGCAAGGTATGCTAGGAAATTGACAGAAAGGTATTCCTGTAGAAAGACATTAATAATTATTGATGTTAAGATTATATAAGGAGGCAAATGGCCAGTGATGAAGGCATCTGTACACTTAGTATAAGAGTTGAAATAGACGAAATTCTGACTGAGAAGCGAATGTGAATTGTAAACTCACAGTACAGCCAAAGTGTACGAGGAGATACTTGTAGCATAAATCGGGTAAATCTTATGTAAGCAGTAGACGTGTACAGCCAAGTGGCATTTGTGAAAGTCAAAAAGTCTTAGAGGTGACCAAGTGGTGCCTGCTTAGCCAAGTGAATAGGAGTACCTTGTGGTCCTATTGCCAAGTGGCCGGTACAGGCAAGTGGCTTTGGAGATTAGCCAAGCCAAGTTGTTATAATCAGTCGTTTGTATACTATAGCCAAGTGGCATTGATATAGCCAAGTTGCAGGAACCTGTTTATATATACTGTGTTTAATCATACACTAGACAAGTGTTTTTATATTTGTATATATTGCTTAAACTTAATTAACACTAGGCAAGTGTACCCTATATCTGTATATTTTGCATTTATTATTGTCCTAATAAGACTTGGGCATAACCACATATGGGCCCAAGGAGATCGCTCGGGTCCCGCGCTTTACAAAATTTGGTGACTGCGGTGGGATATCTCTTATAGGACATTATGAGTGCCACGTGGAAAGACCACATTGCCATAGATGAAAATATGCTTGCGACGATGGACAGGATAAAGAAGAAATTAAAGCGTTATCGTCTTGACAGTTCCACTCTTAAGAGTAACAAGCATAATGAACCAAGAGGTCGAACCAGATTGTCACCTAGATCATATGACCTGTACCAAGGATATATGTCACCATATTCATTTACAGACCGCAATGTAAAAGAAGATACAAACTACGAAAAGCCTGAGCCTAAAGAGAAGTCGCCATATTCATTTACAGATTGCAATGTAGAAGGTGCAAATTACGAAAGGCCTGAGCCTAAAGAGAAGCCTCAATATGCATATGCCAGTGGCGGTGTGCGACCAAAGGTTCACTTTGCTGAGGAGCCACCTGTTAAAGGACAAGAGGATGGTGACTGGCTGACAAGAAATCTGTCATTAATTATAAGAGTAAATGATCACCAGAAGTCTCCTGAGCGAGATGGTCCCAAAGACAACGCCTAATGACGTCTAGGGTAGATAGAGACGATAAAATAGCTATTAAGCCAGCGACTTATGATGGGTCAAGCTCTTAGCTTGATCACAAGTGCCATTTTGAAGCATGTGCAAATGCCAATGGCTGGGACGAAGTGAAAAAGGGGTTTTTCCTTGCGTTGTCACTGCGTGGGCACGCACAAGCTGTGCTAAGCGACATGTCAAGTGACAGAGGGCAGCAATACGGGGCACTTGTTAGATCTTTGCAAGAAAGATTCTCTCCCCCGAACCAGACCGATTTGTACAGAGTGCAGCCTAAAGAAAGGCGACAAAAGGCTACTCACTGCTTGAAAAAACACCTTTACAAAACTTTACTTGTGAAGTAAATTTCATTAAAGGTGCTCCCAAAAGCAAGGTCATCTTTGTATTAACTTTACAAAAAGTAAAGGTGAAAAGGTAACCTTTAATTACACGAAAAGATAATTAAATATAACCTTTCACCTTTAATGCCATATTAAAGTTCATTAAATATACATATTGTAGAAAATTCTTATTTAAATGCTGACTATTGTTTAATAAACTTATTCTTTGGATTTTCATAGTTAGTTTAAAGAATCTAATCTAGTTAGTACCCAGAATTTTAAGACAAATGTCATATATTGTTTCTATTATCTTGTATCCATTTCCAGTGGAAATTAGTATTAGAAATGGTCATCTACAGATTCAAACACTCGACTCATCATTATTTGACAGACTACACCTCAAATAATACAACACCTATGATGTAAGCCAGTTTAGCTTAGTTGGAGCAGCTGGCGTTTATTTTGATACATGTAACAAAACATAAATTTTTAACATACATTACATTGAATGTGAAACAATAAAGCACTGCAATGCATTTGCAATATAATTTACATGTAATAAATTGTATCCCTATCACTGACATTAAAGACCGCCCAGGCAAAAACCATAGATGGTTAACTATGGAAAACCTGTGTCCGTCGCTATGTAAATAATGTCTCAAAGGAGAATGCCGGACGTGCATTCGGTGCAATAGTTAAATATGCATGAACATCCTACAATATTTGCATGTATGAAAAAATCAAAATTAAAATACATTTCAACAGTTTTGTTATTTCCATTACCAGTATATTTATACAAATATGATATATATAAAGCAAAAAAAAAAATGTGTGTGTATTGAAGAGCACTGGCTTAGAATGATATGAACATATTACTGAATACTCATTTCTCACTGGCTTTTCTTTGGCCACGCCCACATATACAACCAAAACCATTAATATACATTCCTCGCATACAATGTATTCCCGCTATACTGCGAAACACAGGAAAAAAATATTTTCTGCACCAGGATTGCCTACAACTCTCTTAATTGGATGACATAGATCTTTAATATGTACATATTAATGATAAAGTAATTAAAAATATAACAATGGGAAAAATTGGCATACTGATATTTTTCATTTTCCAATCAAAAATGATCTAAAATATTCTGTATTTTTGCTTCTCATAATATGATGAGTCAGATATACAGCACAAACAATATCCAGTTATAACCTTGAATATAAACATTATATTGAGCTATCTTTGACTTTTGTTTTCCTTTAAACATTCAGATACACGTGAGAAAAAATAAAAAAAAGAAATACAGATGACAAGTATAAATTTCACATTTCTGCTTATGAAATGGAGGTCTCATTTCACTTTAAAATATAATACTAATACATATACAATATTTATTCTTTATGGTGCATGTACATATATAAAATAAACTTTGCAGTTTAAATTGAATTAAAAATGTGGAAAAAATTACATAAAAGGCTATTTGATTTGCGCTTATTATACACAGGCTAATAACATCTTCAACTTGTAATGAAAAATGATGCATTTTACATATTCACAAACACAAAATATGGTGAAAAATCTATTAGAATAGATGCGAGGATGCAGTTTGCAAAATGCATGAGATCATGTAGGAGTCCAGCTTCACCCCGTGAGCCTGTCTATGCTTGATTAAGTTTAGATTTGTTTTTATGTCTGTGGTAAATGTTAGTGTGTTTGCATATGTGTCCAGCTTCACACATTTTCATGTATGTGCTCGACTTCACACGCCTTGGAAAATATCTAATAGGTTGTGGTAGATGCTTGTGTGTTTGCATATGTGTCCAGCTTCACACATCTTCATGTATGTGCTCGACTTCACACGCCTTGGAAAATATGCAATAGGTTGTGGCAGATGCATGTGTATTTGTGTATGTGTCCAGCTTCACACATTTTCATGTATGTGCTCGACTTCACACACCTTGGAAAATATGTAATAGGTTATGGTAGATGCATGTTTGCATATGTATCCAGCTTCACGTCTTTTCATGTGTTTGCTCGATTTACACGTCATAAATGTAAAATATGTAACCAAGATGGTGTAAAACATTTACAAGTGTATGATGCACGGAGAAAAAAAGTTCTGTGTGTTTTGTTCTGCAAAAAAATAAATTAAGTCCTGTTGAGAAACTGACAATCAAAATAAAGTAACATATTCATTTTACATAACTGTACTGAAAATCACACATCCAGTTTAAATTACTGTACTGAAAATTGAATTTGTGCAAAAACTCTGAATGAATAACATTTAAAACCAAGAATGCTTGCATGTTCATCTATAAATCTCCAAGATATTTACTAGTTAGTTTGTAGCGCCGCATCAGGCAGTCTTATAACACATTTCATAATGTCAGTTTGCATGAATAAATCAATTTATCCTTGTTCCTCATATCTTGCCGAAATTCTAGTCTACAGTTTATTTACACAGCACATCACAAATAGAAACATTCAGGAAAAATAATTCACTAAAAATAAAGTCCAAGTTAAATAATCACATGTACATATAAATCCAAGAAATATTAGGTTATATTCCAAGTAAGTAAGTAACTTTATCTATCTCTAACAGTTCTATCTACTAAGTCTTCTATATTTCCATCTTCCTATCTTATTCTAAAATTCTGTCGCACTATATATATACTCAAGATCCGCTCCTGACGATCAGGAGCACATTACATGTATAAGATCCTTAAGATCAGGAATCAATACACAGGTCATTACAATCAGCAGGGGGTTATATAAGAGGGGGCGATTAATATACAGATAAGATGATAATGTGTGAACAATTAAGTATTGAAGAATTATATTACAGATAAGATATTCTAAATTGCTACAAGTTTACAAATTTTTTATCATATCATTGATAACAGTACATTTTCTTGATCATGACATCTGTTTTGGATTCCCCTCTCTGACATCTTTTCTTGTTCACCAATTAGTTCAACAGTCATCTGGGTACTCAGGTGTTGTACAAGACCTAATAATAATAATTTTCA